TTTAGTTATCAACATTTTCTGCCTATATAACATTCATGTAAAATAAGTAAATTATGTAAAAAGCAAACCCCCCCCATAGCCATTGGGTTATGTATAAATGAAAAAGGCTTATGTGAATTTGTATATTAATTGAATTTGTGAAAAATAGTGAATCAGCAAACCACCACTATTTTGCTTTTCTTGATTTAGTGGCAAACTTCACATTTTGCCTGTCTGGAAAAGAAAGGTATTTCAGTGTCTGACACTACTTATCTGACTACTGAAATTAACTGCAACAATCAGACACTGGAAGTATTTTTTATCTAAGTCAGTCTCTTAAAGCAGTGAAAATAAAATTACAGAGAGCCAAAGGCTCTATAGTAAATTTTGACAGACAGGTATTAGAAAATAACTTGCTTTTTTTCTCCTTTTATCTATTAGTAGGTTGCAGCCTTTGGTGTGCTGGCTAGGGTGGCCGTGATGTGCTCATCCTTTGAGAAGGTTGCACCGACTCTACACCTGTTTTCACTTTGGGCCTGATCCATGGCTTGGTGAAGCTGATGGAAGTCTTTCTGGTGACTACTTTGCGCTTTAGAATTAGGTGTAAGCTAAAAGTTTACACTTTGCAAGAGTTTAGCGTGCGCTTTCTTCTGGCAAAGCAATACCAATGCCCACAGAAGAAGGAAACAGCTTTTAAAATTACATTAAAAATACTAAAGTGAGCTCGATTGGGAATTAGGTTTAAGAACAATGCGTTGACATGGTGTCTCGCTAGAGTACTGTGCCTGGCTGGCAGCAGTACTCATGCAGGTGCCTTCCTGGGCTTGCAGAGGATTGCGGTGTGCCGATCTTTTGAATAAAGTGGCCCAGTTGTTGAGATGGCGCAAAACCCAGGGAGGGCATCGGAGAGAAAGAACTTGAAGTGTTTGTGTTAGATGATAGAGCCATTGGGTTGGCCTTCAGAAGAGTGGAGCAAGAGTTAGGAGCAACAGCTCCGAAGCCAGGCGTACCAAAAGACACGATAGTCACTGCTTTTCTCACTTGTTTTCTAGAACAGCTTGGAAGGTGAGGATGCCCCCCCCCTCTTACAGGCATCAGCTGCAGGCTTCAATCCCCTTGATGGGGGATGAAACAAATCTCCCACTTTCAGCCTAAATGTCTGGAACTGGCTTTAGGCCACTATTTAAAGACTAGCTGGTCCTCCAGAGAAGAGCCGTCCCTGCACATTTCTTTAGCAGAGGCCAGGGCGCATCTGGCCTCCAGGGAAAAGGCTGGGCTTCGAATTGCAAGTGGCTGGAGCTGCTTCTTGGCAAGCCCAGCCCCAGCACGGGTGGCATTGAGCGCGGGTGGCTGCTCAGCCACACTCCTGTGCCGGGTATTGCCCAGGTGACAGTAAAGGGCCTTTGCAATCTGGTCCTTGATGGAATGGATTGTCCTCCATGCGTCCTCCACGTACCCGCTGGGGAGACCACACTCTATCATTGAGGATGGTGGGGTGGAGGGCAGGGGGAGTTTCTAAAAAATTGCCTCTATTTTAGCTGCCTAATGTCTTTTTGACCTAGTTGTGAAGTCTTGGATCTAGTCTTACAATCTTTGATTAAGAGTCTCATCCCTCTCCTCTCTCCTCATGGCAGTACGCAGCTGCTGCCCTTAGGCCCAACATCTGCTGGCGGAAGCTGGAAGCGCCCAGCGGTGACCTGTGATTTCCCTCTGCTGCTCACTCCTGCTTTTCTAGCATGAAAATTAGCAGGCATCATGTTGCTGATATTAAATGTTCAGTGCATTAACTTCTTAGTAGTATTTGATGATCTCAGTGCATAAAATCTGTTGGGCCCATTCCACTGTTGGTAATTACGGGCGTGTATCTGTCTTGACACACAAGCTCTGAGTTTCTGTATTTTTAGGCCCCTTGTTTGTTTCTTCCTCCCCTTCGCATAGCTCCCACTCCTCTCACCGCTCCCTGTGATACAAGCAACAACACTAAACTCCGAGCTCTTTCTGCCTCCTGGAGAGGGTGAGTAACAGGGATGGGGGAGTTGAGAAAGCCTCCCTTGCAGCACGCTGGCTCACACAGCCTGTGCTCTGCCAAGGTATAAAAAAACCAGTCAGCATTTCTGATTTTAGTTGCAAGTCACCCCGGCAAGACGCTTCTGCATGCTAATGCAACCCTGTCCCAGGAAACAATTTTTGCCGAGCCCTTGCATGCACTGCTCGGCGGCACTCCCAGCAACGCCCCAGTAAATTAATGGCTCGCTCTCAGTTTCTTGGCTGCGGAGTCTGTAACATTGGGGCCAAGATCGTATTTTTTACAGCGTGTTCCCACCCAGTGGCTCCAGCCTTGAGTTTTTCTACAGGTGTAGATAAACAATCTCTCTGTAAGCAGTGGCAGCTGAGTTCTTGCAGCCATAATTAGGGGCGAACTGGGTGTTGACACTCTTCTCAAAAATACCTTTCCCCTTTGCTTGCTGTTGTAGAGGAGGTTGTGCTTATAAACCAGATGGAGAGGGAGAGGGGAGCAAATAACTTGAGGGCTGTAAGTTAGCTATCCAATTAATATTTAAAGTAAATAAATGGCAGGGGTTTGTTGGCTGTGTGAAGCTAGGCATCAATCCATGCAGTCAACTTCTGAGTTTAAACATATTGCACTATGACCAGCAAGTCTCCACAATACAGTAGGATTTATTAATAGAAAATATGTCAATATGAGTTTGTCTTTGTACATGTTAGCAACATGTACAGTGAAACACATTTTTTTCTCAATCTATATTGTTATAGTTCTTTTGTGTTATCTGACATAACCATTTATATTTTGGGCTTAAATATGTTATTTGTCAAAATGTACTTTCAGTGTTAATATACCTTTAAAATCATAGTTTATCTTTTAAATATTGAATATTATTTTTTTTTCAAATCAATATTGCTCATGTTAGTGCAAATTTGTTAATCTTGAGATAGGTTAACCATTCCTTCCAGACCATAAACAGCATTTAATAAAACAGTGAGATTTATATAGCTCTACACAGCTGAACGAGATTCTAATATGAAGCTTGTTAAAAAAAAAAACCCGACATTTTACAGTACATCAATTGCATTTTATACATTTTTTTGGAACAGTTTTGTTTCTTCTCTATTTCTGTGTGTGATCTAGTACAAGAATGAAGGGAACAGCAATAGGTAATGATACTTTCCTCAATATTAAAAAGAATGCATCACACATATCTTGCTCAGTATGGCAGCAGTGTTGGATTTCCAAGCCTGGAAAAGAAGCCAGGTAATTCAACACCGTCTCAAAACTCAGTACAGCAAGAGTGAACATTACTAGTCGGAGCACTTGCCACTACAGAAGAATGGAAACAAAACAACACAAACTATAGACAAAAGGTATTTTATGCCACTTCATCGATCCAGAATCTCTCACTTGAGCAATGGTCAACACTTGACTCCAAGTAATTCCTAAGAGGAGCTGAAAGGGGGCAATGTGGGCATTCCAGTAGTTTGGAGAATGGAAATAAATCCAACTTACAATAACCTCCTGTCCTAAGAACTTCAAACAGAATGACGGATCCCCTCTGCCTGATGGCAATCCTGCGCCTGGAGAACTGCGCAGCCTGGTGGTTATCAGGCAGTCAAGAAGAACTTCAAATTGCGAGTGACATTCTTTATTAAAAAAAAGTTTTTATACTGAAAATGTGCTTTGTTCAAAAGAGCACTGCAAATGTCACTTCTCTTATTAAAATCAATGTAATAAATAAAATATAAACAACCTGTGTCCAAAACTATGAATAATATTTTATCTACCTCACTATACATCTGGCCCACTGTGCCCCTCCCACCCACCCTTTCTTAAATTTGTTAAAAATTTTTTTGCATGCGATTTTTTTCCCCCTGTTTACTACAAAGAGCAGATAAGGTTACATATCGTACACTGGGAAAAGCTGCCAAAAAAGATTAAACTATAGTCCTAGATTACCAATAAACCAATTCTACGTCACAATACCCGCCTGCGTGAACTACTCGGGCTGAGTCCTATCGACCAGGCGATGACTTGCAAGAGACTTCTCCCCTTGCGCACAGCCAGAAGTGTGCCGGGTGATGTTAAGACTATTACAATGACTAATCACAGAAATGTTTGCAACCTAAATCAAATTCCTTAATTTGAGCAATTTACAACTACTCCATTTGTGGTGGGTCTTATGCTGTGAAAACAGTGAATGGTTGCCTGAATCAAAGAAATGAACAATGCTAGATTCTTTATTTCACTTCCAGAATTCCAAGAGCTAAGATGAATACGCCTCCTAGCCTAGCTTCCTTTTTCTATTTTTTAATTTAAAAAAAAAAACCCAAACCTCTGTCCCTTACATTTTTTCCCCCAGGGTTTTACTTTAAATGCACAGAAATGGTTGGTATCTTTCATATTTGAGGAATGTGTTTTGCGTATTTTTTTTTTTTTTGGTATGGGTTAAAATAAATGATTGTCCTTAATGGTTCAGGAGTTGGAGCCTTCTATAGCCCAAAGAGTTTGGAGACTCCAGACTTAAGTCTGCTTGGTTTTTATTTTCCATTTCCTCGGGGAGATGGCAAGATCAAATTCTGCCTTCCTTGAGCACTTGCTGGTTGGTGGCTGGAGAGTAATGATATTTCCTCAAGAGAAGATCAAGAGATGCTATTTTAAAGGAAATGGCACCTAAGGGTGAAGGAGTCAGTGAAAAAAATCCGACAACCCCTTCCTTTGTGAGCACGTGGCCTAACAATTTTGAATTGCTATCAATGGATAAGAAAGTGAGTAAGAGAAAGCACATACTGGAGTTTCCACTGTTTAAAAAAATTGAAAATCAAACAAAAATTGAAGCTTGAACAAGGAAAACATTGGATGAAAAGAAGTCTTACGCCACACAAACGCACACACTCAAACACATACACACACGCGCACACAGAATACTATGCATACGTGGACACACACAAGTAAGAATGTGTATTTGTATGGTTGGTTCTTGGAAATAGACATTCTTAGCAAATATGGATGACAGATCAATTGTAATTTATTTTCTTTTAACACTGTATCATCATAAAGAAAACTGGTATAAATGAAAAAAATCTATTTCAAATATCTACATCTAAAATTTTAGGCAGTGAAAAAGCACTTCGTTGACAAGGAGTGTGGAATGATGAATGTTAATTGTCAGAAACTGCTGAATGCCTTTTTTTTTAGTTGCCACAAACAAATTCACATATCAGAACGAACAATACTGCTAAATATTCCTTTTTGTTTTTTTGATTTTTTTTTGATTTTTTTTTTGTTAAAACGCACTGGGGAAAAGAAAACAAAAAACTGGAAATTCATACATCTTTCAAAATTTGAAATTGAAGCAATATTTAGAACCATAGATGAAGAAACACTGTGGCATTGGTGTAATATACACAATGCACTTGTTTTGTTTTTTTTTTATCTGTAATGTACATCAAATACTTTACAACAATGCATTAACAAAAGGCAAGAAACATCTTGCTGTACAGAGGAAACCCCAAATGCAACTTGAAGCCTAGATTCACAATGAATGAGGATATTAAACAAAGTGTGAGAAGCTGTTCCCCATAAAGTATGTACGCTGCTCGGTTACTTGTGCTTAACTCTTGACCCACATCCACTGTCGTGTTCTCCCTCCTTCCTTCAGCCACATTCAATATACAGCACCAAACTTTAGACTCTACAGGCCAACAGTAAAGTTGCCCCACACTGTAAAATATATATGTGTATATATATTTCTTTCTAATTACTCCCAGGTTTAGCTTTCATATCTTTTAGCCTTCTAAAAAAATCTCTTAATTTTTTCCATACTGGTTATCTGGGCCTTCCTATGGAACAGGCTTTAACAAACTAAATTTGCAGGAAAAAAAATGTCTTGTGGTATGCATGCACATGCACAGTTCCTGGAGCTTTTGTATCTGCCCAAGTCTCAAACCCAGGAGTCGGGAGAGGCTGGATAGTGGCTTGTTTCATAGTTAAGTTCACTATAGGGACGAGCAGCTGAGTAGAAGTCGACGTAGTTGCCAGTTGACTTTAGTCCCAGGTGCATGTTGTATTCACTTGCAGGTGGACGATGATGCACTTGGTCCTCAAAGAAGGACTCGTCATAGTTTCTTGTTGAATTCTGAAACGGCTGATATGGTTCGTAATCTTTTCTGCTGGGCTCCTGTGGAACTGGCTGTGTTGAAACCTGAAAGACAGCAATACGCACAGCCTGTTAGATAAAACTTACTGTGGGCAACAAGAGTGAAGAAGGAGTAAGTCTCACTCTGACTTTTATATTTCATGCTGGAAATATAAAGTTTATCTTTGTAATCTTAACATCTGTTCAAGTTATCGCTTGGCAGTGAATTAATTCCACAGCTTTGTCTTCTCATCACATTTCTTTATTTAATATTGTTATTAGATACATTTATTATTTAATGTTATTGCTGCTAACAGATGCTGATTTACTTCAAAAGTAACTCAAATCTGGACCTGAGCAGTGTAGCCTACAATTAGTTTCGTAACTATAACCTGTATATAACTTTCTGACTATTTTGCAGCTGTATGATGCAAAAATTGGTGACCAGAACTCAGCCTTGAAGAATTCGAATGGAAGACAATAAAGACACTAAACATTTTGCAGCTGCCTTTGCCGCAAGTGAGATTTAGAGTGACACCATATCCTTAGGAACCATTTATAGTTTTCAAGGCAATGACATGAGAAAATTTCAAGCAAAAAGTGCCCTACAGTGTGTTCTTCTGCTACTCTTAAGCTGAACCATCTTCTTACCACCTCCTCAACACTTCGTGGTGGCAATCTTGTGTTGTTGCTACATTCCAGCAAGTTGCCTTGAAGCTGAAATAATTATGATATGCAGTAAAAAATTTCAGGCAGTCCCCTAACCTGAGTCTGCCATAAGGTTTTTTGCAGGCAGCCCTAGTAAGTCTGTTTTTATAGTTGGGACTTAATTAAAATCTGAAATTTAGAAACACATGCTAAAGTAACTTAGTGGAACACTACCTTTCACTCTATGCTGCCTATGTAAGTTTGTGCAGGTTTTGTGACTGCAAAATGATACAGCCTTTCGATCCTCAAAGAGTCATCATTGGGAATACTGATGCTCAGATGCTGGTGTCAGAAGACTCTGCAGATCCTGCTGGCTCTGCAGCAGTTACTAATGCTCCTTCAAGAAAAGAGGAACGTTTGCACTGCTATGTCCCAAACTCTGTGATACTCTTTCAAAGCAGGTCTGTATGGGACTCTGTGCAAAAGGCTGCCCATGCCCTTTAAGAATCTTACGAGTGATCTTACAACACTGGGCACAATATTAGAAGAGCAGAAGGGTGCACAACTACCCTAGCTTCTGTTTCTAGGACTGCTATCAAGGTGTACAAGACCTTGACACCCTTGTTTCATTTCATATATTCAAACACAGGTGTTCTATCTTGGACACAGGAGAAAAATTTGATACCAAGCAACCTATTTATATGCCACAAAGATAGAGATGGTCAATTTTTGCGTAGAAAATAGGGGACTGAAGTAGTATTTCTGAGTTCTTTCTAGCTAAGAACACTACATCTCATATGTCAATCATAAATCTGGTATTTCATTGAAAAAGCAAGTGGGAAAAGGTGGAAAACTGGTTTTGGTTTTTGGTGAGGTTTTTGTTTGTTTGTTTTCCTTTTGCTCAAACTCTCACCCCAAAAATCAAATTAGTTGAGTCATGACTGCAGTTAGAGTGCACCTGCTGCTATAATACTTCATATCCTTATTTTCTCGAAATACTGTGTTAATTGGAAGAGCTTCATCTCTTTAAATGCAATAAAAGCAGGAACACCTTCGTGCACTGAACTGGGTCACACAAAGAAAGAATATGGTGCACCACAGGAAATACTGGCTGGTTAAAAAGCAAAACCAATAAAGAGAAATGAGGGCACAAAATATCAGCAACTCCTCTTAAATCAGTGGATGAAAATCGAAATATCAGTCTCTTAAACTGAAATTTCAGGTAATTAGTAAAAAATTTCAGAGAAAATTTTTTTTATTGATTTTACTAAATATTCATTTACCTGTCCAATACTACTAATCATTTTAAATGCCTTCCTTGAATGTTTTTTGTCTCATTTCTCCAGTTGAAAAACGCTGCAGTTTTTGCGTATTACACAGGGAAGTTGTGATAACTAAGTATAAAGTAGCATTACACATAATGATGAAACAAAAGGGCATGTATGAAACTACAAGGGCATGCAGTGATAGAGCAAGGGGCAAAGGCTTTAAACTGAAAAAGGGTCGATTTAGATTAGATCTCAGGAAGAAATTCTTCCCTGTGAGGGTGGTGAGGCACTGGAACAGGTTGCCCAGAGAAGTTGTGGCTGCCCCCTCCCTGGAAGTGTTCAAGGCCAGGTTGGATGGGGCTTTGGGCAACCTGGTCTAGTGGAGGGTGTCCCTGCCCGTGGCAGGGGGGTTGGAACTAGATGGTCTTTGAGGTCCCTTCCAAACCAAACCATTCTATGACTCTATGAAAAGCCTATGGATGCAAAAAATGGCTGTTTCCCAGGGACTTGAGGGAATAATATACTGGAAACACCAGCTATATGAATGCCACACATGCCAGCATTGCAACTTTTTCTGTGAGTGTATTAGCTTGGCACTCATGCTGCCAAAGACATTTTTGTAATGCATACCTTATCCAGACATACTTACTGCTTGCTTTCTGGTTTTCAATGACAGGACATTTTTAAAAGAGTCCCAAAGTTCTAGACCAAATGGCTTGGATGTATATACATGGGAAAGTGTCCTTGCTGATGAAGTGCTAGATTTTCTCTTGCCCATGCCATGATGCATGCATTAAAAAACAAACCAAAAGCCCTGTTGCAATCATGCTTCTGGAGTGACTAAATGGCAAATCTGAGGGCTTTTGCAACACCTAAGTATAGTGACATGTCCCTGCAAGAGATACAGGGGGTTCTTCTTCCTGGCCTGTTCAACACTTGAGTATCTGCCTTAGCAGATGCCTTAGCACATGAGCCGTGTGCTGTCAGCAGCGTGTTGAATTTTACAATGGCTATACTCAAGTAATAAGATGTGACCGGACTTAACCAAATTCATCGGCACAGGACATCACGAGATACCCGAGCCAGTAGATGGGCCCATTAACATTAGCTTGGCTTTCGTAGTCTGTGTCACCCATATCCAGAACTTTTAAGGCATTCAGGTCTCAAGCCCTTCTTGATTTCATTTGGAGTTACAGGCTTAAACACCTTACATAATTTTTGTGCATGTGCTGTCATAACCTGTTGGACAATTTTTGAAACTTGGGTTGAAATTAGCCATTAACATAAAGAACGTAGCTTGCCAGTGGAATTGCTAGCATTTGCACAAGCAGATGACTCAGTTCCTCCAATCTAGACTTATCAATCTTTGCAGTATTTTTCTTAGTTTCCATACAAGATGTTACACTGGTCTTTTGCCATCTGGAACAGTAACATTTTAGTCTCCTTACTTACCTGGTTATGTTTGATATCTTCAGCAGGTGCACCATACGAATTCCTGTACAAAGTTGAGATTCCAGTGTTCTGAGCTGGAGAGAGAAAAAAGGCAGGTAAAAGCAGGTTTACCAAATGTATCTCTTTGACATCAAAATGAATTCTGAAGGCTTCATGAAATACATGATACAGCACCTGTTTCCCATACATGAAAATCTTTGCTTTGGTATACATGCATGTACTTACTAATGGTAACAGGCACTATGTCATGTTCATACCAACCTTATGCACTTCACATATAAATCAACAAAATAATTTCATGTACAGCTAGCATTCAGTAATATATTTCAGGTTACGAATGGGATTTTATATCACACATACACTAATCAGGTAACAGCTGTAAACATTGAGATTAAGAAATATTTTTTTCCTTTCACTTCAGTTGGATGATGTTTACCAAATCCTGGATTATTTATCCTACAGTGCTTTTGCTACATGGTGAAATTACTCATGGGAAAAGTGATTAAATGCAACTGAAAAATGAGTTATGCAAAAAAGTAGTATGTAGTTATACTGAAGAGGTCTGGCCAAGATAGTCTCAAATCCATGAACTACTGTCACTTTTTTTTCTCAGATGTCCTACTACTAAAATTCATGGACGAAACTGAGCTATGAGTTTGAAATCAGAAGTAATTCTAAAGACAACGATAACATCATACAGTTTTACAAAAGTTTATTTCCCATACTGCCCCCCGCCCCCCAAGCACATAAAAAGCTAAGGATTTTCCCTGCAAGGCTGACTTCCCTGATCACTTTGATTTGGTTATCTAGCTGAAGCTTAGTTTGCTGGTAGGGCTAGAAAGATTGTATTTATTTCTCATATTTGAAAGAATATAAGGGTAGTATTTTGTGTGGCTGCTGCACACTGTTCTTACTGGGCACGCATTATTAACTTTCCAGACATTATAACCAGTGATTTGATGCTGTCACGAAGACTCTCGTTATAAAAGCACGTGTCTGAAAGTAACAATTGAGTAGTTGTGAATCAGAGTCATCAGTGGAACTGAAACACGTTGCTCAACTGACTTCTCTCAGGTCTCTGTGCAATGGTGTAAAACCTGGAGGCACCGAGAGTTCCTTTTAATACCTTCATAACTCAAAACCTTTGAGGGTGAAGACTGAGGATCAGAGCTGAAAGCTGGGTATGGGATCCATGCTAGTCACATCACTAAGAAGAACCACAGTTACTGAAGAAGTAACCACTCTTTCTTCCTTTGGTAACCTGCTAGCATGGACCCCAGCATGTGCAACTGCCTCTATCTTAACCCCCACCACCGCACCCTCTATGGAGAAAGGAATGGCACAGTCTTCAAAGTTGATTGTAACACGCCAATTTTGATCTTCGCATCTGCCATGGTTTCCAAGCTGGGTGTATAATTTTTGTCAGAGTTTGGCGCACTGCTCCATGTTGCTGCTTTACAGATCTCAGATGTTGTTCTTAAAGATCTCCAGCGTGTTCTTGAAAAAGCATTAAGACAGGGCTCACATGGTGGGGTGATGAGCCCTAACAGCCCTAACAACTGCTGGAAGAAGATTTTTCACTTCATAACAAATAACTAATAGGGGTGAAAAATCTCGTTTCTTGAAGAGCTGGATGCAATTATTGATACAGTGCATAGTCCTGTGTAAGAAATGGATAAGAGCTCCACGGACTGCAGCAGGATCCTTTCTTTGAAGGTGGGAAGAATGCAAACTCTAGTAACAGACGGAAATGATGACCGCTTGAGTAGTCTGTCTTTGGTCATAGATGTTAGTGTCAAAGGGTCGATCTGCAGAGGCTGTCTCTGTTCAGGCTGCATTTTGTCACCCGAGCGATGCATGCAACTTGACTGTTATTTCAATGGTTTTTATATTCCAGCTGCATCCTCTGCTTTAGTGTTTGAAAATCTCCCTCCTGATGGCAGTCTTTGGTATTAGAGGAATCCTCATCAGCACTGCTATTTATGGTGCGTCTCATGATGGCATGACTCTCAGTAGTACAACTGACAGATCTTTCCTTGATACCATCTTTTTTTATGCTGTTCTTTTGAGTTTTTTGCTTGCCCCACAAAGTGCTAGAAGAAGTTGGGTTATACAAATTCCTCTTCTCAAGATCTAAAAATACTCAGTGTTTCGGCTACCCATTTTCTGAAGTGCTACTTCTTGAAAAAAATGAAAGTGACATACAAGGTGTTGGACTCTCATAAACAGAGGAAGAACTTGTAACCATTTTGTTTTCATGTATAGAAATGGGAAGATAAGCGATGTTGAAGTTTTATGCATGCAAGTTTTCAGTCAGGAATGACTGAACATATTCAGTCCAGGCAGGACAATACTGTTCATGGTTGTTTGATGTCAAGAATAAAAGACTGGTATAAGGTGCAACATTGGAGGGTTTTATGAAGAATCTGACAAAAAATAGCAAAGTGGACACATAATCATTCATATGTTGTTCCTGCAGGCAATCAGAGAGACCTCAAGGAGGCTCATGACCTACCCACCTTTTAACAGGTATACAAAGAGGCACATGGTACGTATATGCCACTAATAGCCAAGACTATTACAAAATCCAGAAATAGTCCAAAGTTAGTGCATAGCTGTCCAATGCATTACTGTGAAATTTGCACTGATGTGCTCAGAATTGTCACATGCCAGGTTGAGGACTGACAGTCTCCCAGATCACATATTCTGTGATGGAAAAATGGATAATTTCAGCTTATGAAAATAGCTGCAAGGTATGCATTGATGATTTCACTGCAGTGATGTGGATACAAATTCACAAGTTTAAAATGAAAAAAAAAAAGAAAAAAAAGGTAGTATTCTTAAAGTAATAAAAAGAAATACAATGATACATCTGATGCTTGGAGATGAATGCCAAGAGTTCAAGAACAAGAAATCTTGGCTTAGTCTAGCTGGGAGGCTGAGATAATTCTGTCTCTGGAGGAAATGTAAGTCAAGCAATGTAGCTGCTAGCAACGCATGCAGCCCCGCTCCAGTACCTGCTTCTGAACACGCAGGCGGCATCCCTGGGAATTCCATTCCCGCTCTGCCATGCCTCAGTGAGCAGTTGACTCTTGCTGTCCAAAAGCAGAGGGCAAATATAAAAGAAAGAAGGGAGAGAATGAGCTAGATGAAGGGACAGATATTGTGTGGTTAGTAACTGATTTTTGCTGTTAATATTGTATAAGTACCATCATAATAAAATTATCAAACTGAGAGAAAGAAAGGTTAATGAAATAACTTTCTTTTTTAAAGTACGGCAAAAGAAGGCAAAGGGGTACAAGGAGCAAGAGATGGAGTGTTTTCCAGCAGCCTCACTACCTTACAGAGATGTGAGAATTGTAGCTGCAGATGAAATGATTTGAGGAGTGATGAAAGTGTGTGCGTATGTGTTTTATGCACTATCTAAACATGAGTGCAAGACAGTACCGAAGAGGTACATTTTACTAGGCAAAACTTTGAAGATTCTAAAATGAGTACTCTCATCAACCTGTCGTACTTTGAAGTTGCATTGTATGAAGAACATTATAGAAAAATACCTGCTTTTTTTTCCCCTGTTCAGTTTTCAAGATGATCTTGGTTAAAAAAAAATAAAGAATTATATAGTTCCCCACAGCAGTTTTCTGTAAAGCTGACAACAACTTTGAAAATCGTGTCACTCAATGGTTTATGTGACAAAGGTATCACTGACCAAAGCCAGCCCCGTATATCGCAGTCACTTGATTCATGGTTTAACAGTCAGCTTTCAGTTCTTGTAAGTACGTATTCTGAACACATTTACAGACATTTTGAAATAACAAGGTGCTAGCCTTTTGAGCTCACAAACACAGACTGATAGTAAGAAGGGAGTGCTCAGCTGGACAGGTAGTCATCCTCATCTGGTATTGCATAACCTGCTTTTTCTGCTATAAACAGCAGGACTCAATTTTCTAACATTTAGTTCAAGACAGTAAAGGAAAATGCTTCTGTGCCTCACAAATTTCAGCTAACAGAGATCATTACCTGTCACTACCACTGCCACCTTCCTGCACGGTGAATGATGAGGTAAGGGCATGAGAAAAGATTTCAGTGTATTACAGTTTCTTAAAGTAAGAATAAGTTCAAGTAGCCTGAGCATCTGTAGCTATTGTAACAGATGATGGTGGGTGGTTGTGTTCTGAATGTGCAGGGACTTGCAAGTAAGTTTAAATGACAAAAGTGTAGATGATTGATTCCTGACAACCAAAAGAAAATCAATTAATCAGAAGGTGTTTCTCCTGGTGGAACTGAAGATACAGGGTGCAGACTGTGGTGTACGTATGAGTTCGATGAGGGAAGTAACAAAGGAAAAGAAACTTGAGAAGTTCCATGATAGTATACAGTAATCTTATCTTCCATGTTCTGAAGGAGAACACCACGACATAAATAACGTTATCGCATGCACTTATAGTTCCTGGGTTTTTTTAAAGGAATATAATAGTTTTTGTCTTAAAAATATACTTCAGGTGATAACATTTTATTATTGGTTATTATTTTCTACAGAGAAGAGAAGATGGATAGTAAATATACAAGGTATCATAAACCTGTGAAGGGAAGAGGGCAATGAGAACTTTGATATTGTTCCTCTATTTTTTAGCTGTCCTTGTGAAATCAATATAAGTTATCATCTTCAGCCAAACTGCTTACTTCATAGACTCTCCATTTTTCCCAGAGGTTTCCTGACAACTCCCCACAATGGCAAGTAGCCAACATTTCTACTTTGAAAATCCATCAAAGAACCTTCATTTCAGTCCCAGCCAAGAGGTCATAAAATATTTGAACTATAAACTGAGAAAAGCTTTGGAGAAGAGCATGGGGACAGTCATGGATAAATTGGGACTACAGCTGTGGCTCTACACTCTGTGTAAATCCGTAAGTCAAAGAAAGCTTTGTGTAATACATCAGCTTGACACAAAATCCAAGAGCAGCTCAAAATGTGTATGTGCCAGGTGGAACCTGAAAAAACATTTATCTAAGTCCCAGAGGTTCTGTGGATGTATTAGCTGTAGTGCATTGTCTGATGCAGCAAATGAAATATAGGCAATGCAAGGAACTTGCTACATGAACTTATATTACACCATCCAAGTAAAGCCAAAATGTCTCACAATTAAAAATCACAAATACGGATTTTAAATTGTTCTTTAATGAAATATTTAGTATTTAATGAGCTACAAATATGTCACACAAATTTCACGTTGAATGTTGCAAAGCAAGACTCCTTCTGTCATTTTCTTTTGTTCTTAAAATGGTGCTTAATTTTAGCTTAGACCAAATGAGCAGAGATTTGGTGATCTGAAAGAGAGAAAGTGATTTGTTAATTCCATATTCATTTGTACAATGGTCATAGAATCACAGAATCACAGAATGGTTTGGGTTGGAAGGGACCTTAAAGATCATCTAGTTCCACCCCCCCTGCCATGGGCAGGGACACCCTCCACTAGACCAGGTTGCCCAAAGCCCCATCCAACCTGGCCTTGAACACTGCCAGGGAGGGGGCAGCCACAACCTCTCTGGGCAACCTGTTCCAGTGCCTCACCACCCTCACAGTAAAGAATTTCTTCCTAATGTCTAATCTAAATCTACCCTCCTTCAGCTTAAAGCCCTTACCCCTTGTCCTATCACTACATGCCCTTGTAAACAGTCCCTCTCCAGCTTTTTTTTTAATGTAAGATTGTGAAATATTATTACAATTTTCAATTTGATTTTGGTTTTGATTTTTCTCACTGAGAGCAGTAGCTGGAAAAACAGTTGATAGCTGAGCATGATTCTGAGAGTTCCAAGTTTTCTTACTAAAAGCCCAGCCAAAAGATCGATAGGAACAGACAAAATACAAGCAGATATTAAAGGAAAACATGATGCAAAAATCAAACTTGAGCAAAGGTTGCTGGGGAAGTACAAACCTCACACTCTGAAAATTACATTGAAAGAGAAAGGAAACAAGGGAAACAGGAACGGGAGAAGAAAAACACTACAGCAAAAGATAAAATGAAAGGGGATGGGTGGAGGTGGAAATCCACCCAATTTTTTTAGTGTGGAGAGAGACAAGGAAAAATATGTAACTAACTGCAAGGAAACATATTTTCCACATGGAAACCCTTTTTTGGTGAACCTTCTGATATGATCTGGTATTCTAAATTTGCAGATACAACTAGAAAAAAATACTAATGTTTCTGTCTTTTCAGCCTGCTGTTCTTACTTCTGCGATTCCCTCTTCATGGATCCTTGACAAAGAGCTGAAAAAATCGCAGTCCTGTCCTTCACAATGACACAAGTAAGGACCACTGAAGTGTTTCAGAGAACCACCCTGTTCAGTGACTATGAAACACCCAAAATATTACAGATACATTAAATCAGTACCTTGACTGAATCTGCAGCAATTTCATGTAGTACGCTGCAGATGCCATTCAGGACACTCCTCACTTCTGTGGTTTCCAGTGGTCTTGACTGTCATTCCTCTTCTTCAGATTTTCACTTTCATGCTAATTAATGTTCTGCATTGCATTTCCACACAAATTCAAAGGCTGGGCTTTAGGTTTTGATTATACAATGGCATACAGAACAGTAGATATAGTACGAGTATCATGATATCCTGAATACAGTTGTGAAAGCTAGTATGGATGGCTTGACACGGAGTCAGCATGTTCCTGGTGTCCCCAGGAACACAAAGACAATCCATTCTGGCATTCTCTGAGCAAGATCTCTACAGAGGGCATGGGAAGAGGTAACAGGCTTTCAGAAAATGCAGAGTGACTCCTCACTGTGATTTTTTACTTGCCCAAAGGTAGCATTTGGAGGAGAGGACACTGTGATGCTCAGCAGCGTATAAATGTAAGAAAATGTTCAACAGAGGTTATATAAACCTGTGCAATGGTGATGGAGACCAAAATTAACAAAGAGGTGCAGTACTAGGCAAAGCACTCGAAATTTTATAATTACTGAAATGCTAACAGGTTAATGAGCTCACTAGGGGAGAGAGGCTTTCCATGAAACTTGCAATAGATGCCATAATAAACACAGAGAAAATTTTTGTATTTAAATCAGCCAAGCTGAGAAAGTAACAGGGATAGTCTTTATGAACTGCTACTGAAATTGCTAGGAATGACTGATGTGCAGAATAAGCTAAACGGTCCCAGAAAGCCACTCCCTGCGAAAGACAGATGTTAGGGATCACTGCACATGCTCAACCATTGTCATGCTTGCCAAAACAACACTAGTTAATTCAAAGTGAACTACCAACTTCCTTCTGAAATGAAAACAAACTTAAAAAGAAATGTAAAATTGCTTTTAGAGCCTTTCTTCTGTGAAGAAACATAGTCTTCATAAATCATTTTCACACAGCATTGTATTTATTAAGATAAAATATTTCTTCAGTTGTACTTCTCAAGGTGGCTAAAACTTTGGAATCAAGCAAAGCAGGTTGACTCATCTCTGTAGTACAGTAAACCCAGCCAAACCTGTAAAATCAGTGGTCTACCACAGCTGATTTTTACATATGCTATGTAAGCATCATCTCACCTGTCATGGTGTCTTTCCTAGAAGTGTGTTCTCCTTTATTTCCATGGTAAGTGGCATTTGTTCCAGTTGATTCATAGTCTGTTTTTCTTTCTTTTAGGCTGATCATTTCCCGAGGTGAGGCTGGGGCACTTGCTAGATCATAAAAATGGATTTATTTTTTCTCACCACATATCACTGAATGTAGCATTTAACTCTAGAGTAAACATTTTAGTAAAGTTTGTATTTGTTACCATAGTAACGTTGTTTGAAGAAACACTACCACATTATGGAAGAAAAAGATAATCAACTCCAAACATCTTTTTCTCTCTAGACGTTTTACTTTTTTCCCCTCACACTCAACATCTAAGATGATCTTTAAGAAAAAAGTACAATAATAATAATAATAATAATATTTCCCTCCCCTTCTGCTTTTTAATTTCTTTAATTTGTCAAAACTTGCTGGTATAGGCATTTCCATTTTTTCCTCAAAATGGTTAATTTATTTCTGTTGAAAAGACCATTAACTTTCAACTGTGTGGAAAAACTCTTATAAAATGGTTTCTTCCCTTCTCTGTTGAAAATAAACAAACCCATTAAATGATTCTAATGGGGATAGGAAAAAAAGAAAGGTGTTTTTCATAGAAAATATAGGGCAAAGAATGCCTTACATTTAAAGGTAACTCTCTGTCTTTAAACAATTGCCATTAAAAGAACTACTATTTTAAGGTATTATTAAAACTAAATCCTTCATCACCGATACTCGTGGTATGGCTAAAAGGAGGAGAGTACGAGGTGACTAGGAGGAGAATTGGTTTTGTACTTGATTCTCAAGTGCTGGAGAATGTGAAGGTGATCACTGGCACTGATCATGAAGACCTAGAGCTTGCAATGCTTAGGAAAAGGAGAAAAGCAGAGGAAAAAATAATGGCTTTCAAGTAAACGGACTTCAATATATTTAGGTGTTGGTAGATACAATGAATTTTCCCTGTTGTGGAGGGCAGGGGAAGGAATACAAGGTAAGTGGCAGAGCACCCCAGAGCCTCATGAAAGCACAATGGTACAAAAATAAATGGAGTGCTAGTGCTTACTTCCACTCCCTCCCCTGCCCCCACCCAGATATGTCAAAAGAACCTCTAAAGCAGTAACAATGTCCTTGCTTAAAGAAAAGGGGGGGGGGGGGGGGGGGTGAAGTAAGACAAGCTCATTTGTGAAGCTTGATCATGATTTATGTCTTTCAGCATTTCTGAACTATGTTACGTTTTTTAGTTAAGGAGTAGGGAAGCACTTATATGTAATTAAGGAGTAGGGAAGCACAAGTGATATTGAGTTCTGCTTAGACTGGTTCTGCTGGCCCTGGCCTCTGAAAGTCACAGAGCAAATGCAGGACAGACTTTTTTTTTAATGAAGCCATTAGAATTGGAGATTGCCTTTAAATTGCTTGTCAATAGTGATTAATTCTAAAGTTGTTAATCCAGTAGATATAAAGAAATATGACATTAAATTACCATATCAGCTAATGGCAACTTGAAGTCTAACAGGGAACAAAACAGAATGCAAACGTTGAAAAAGTTGCTAGTATAGGGATGCATTTTGTTTCACGTACTCTAGTAATGCTTTTAAGCACTCTGGTGTTTTGAACAAAATTGACTGATAAAGACAAAATCAGCTCTCTCTGTTCCCTGTGGGAATTATCTCTCTCCTCCCATGTGAGAACAACTGCTTTCTGGCAAGTGTTAAAATCCAGAAGTGCCCTCTTTCAGAGTTTTTACTGGAAGCAGACATAAAATCATTGGTTGACATTAGACTGAAAAGTGGTATCAAGGTTTTCTCTCTTATTATTAAAGAACACAGAAAAGAAGACAGAGCTCTCTTATCACCAAGTCCTGAGGATGAATGGGCCACTGTGAGTTCATTTACTTCAACTCTTTACCCCAAGGTAGAATCCAGTATACCAAGATAATTCTTGACAGATTTTCATCTAAAACTAAAGATCTCTAATGACAGAGACCACATAACTGCTCCAAGCAGTCTGTTCCAGTGCTTTGTTTCCCTACTGTTAGGAAATGTTCCCTGATGTCTAGCCTGGCTCCTTATTGCTCATTATTTTCATTTGTCTGCTATGAAAGTAGAGAAAGTTCACGCTGTTCCTCTTCACAGCTGGCTGTTATGGTCTTGAATACTTGATACATACCTCTTCTCACTGCCCCCATCTTGCATCTCTTATTTGAGTTAAACAATTACAGTCCATTCAGTGGGTCCTCAGAGCCCAATTTCTCCATCTCCTGATTGATTTGTGCAACTGACAAAAATCCCTAAATCACTTCTACAGGACTTTTGTCTAGCCAGATATTCTCCTTATAGTTTATTTGTAAAGGACAGGATCTTTTTTTTCCTTTTGGACAGTCTCTCAAATTTCTCAGGGTCACTCTTAATTCCAGTAATGCCCTTCAAGGTACACGAGCCTCTCCCAGGTTTATGTCACCCGCAGAGGTAATAGGCATCCTTTGTATATTATCTGGGTCATTAATGAAACCCCTGAAGAGCACTGGGCCCAAGGCAAACTCCCAAGCAAAACATTCTTCCACTTTGGCAATAAGCAATACCCATTCTTTGCGAATGGTTTTCAGTCGGTTTTGTACTTACCACTTATGACACTTTCTGGACCGTTTGCTAGCTTGCCCATAAAAATCTTGTGTAAAATAGTCTTACTGATTTTTTACTGAGTATTCTATCCACAAAGTGCTTTAACTACGTTGTAGCAGGAATTCAGGTGGATTTTATAAGATCATATCAATGTTTGGATTTGATATGGATACTACCAGACAGACAGTAACTTATACTACTATGTAGAAACAGATAGTCCTAGACTTAAGCAGTATCTTATGCTCCTACTATCTTTGAGGTGCTCAGATTGTGCTTATTTGTTCCAACGATTTTATTAAATGAAATTGAGCTGACTGGTCTGTAATTATATTGGCTCCTCTTCTTTCACAAACAGCCACTATATTTGTCCTTTTCCAGTCTTATGATAACTGATGATGGCAGAAAGATTTCATCCAAAATTTCTTTAAGCATGTTTTTGAGCAATAGAGTAACAGAAGTGAGGAGACAGTTCTGGCCAAAGACAGAACTGAGCTCTCAGGGCCAGACATTTCAAGTGCCTTGCACTTGCAGTCAAAACAAGGCTTTGGAGAAGAAAAAAGGAACAAGAGCTCTTTACGGACTTGCGTAATAGCGGATTTTGAAAACTAAAGGTAGCATTTCTGGCTACATTTTCAAATTTCCTCAGAGGTTGTTCTTCAGGACTAAGATGCAGCTTCCAGATAATTAAAACAATTTTCTTAAAAACAAAACTATGGCACAATGCTGATGGCAATAATCAGTTTGGGCAATTTGAATCCTACACTCTTGGTATACCTATGGAATGACAACATTTGGTTGAACAGGTAGTAAAAATCACATTCAAAGGCTGACTGTTTTACTCTGTTTATCTTAGAAGACTTTCAGTGGGAATGGTTTTATCTAACCAAGGTATGTTCTGCCTTAGAATAAGCTGAGGGGAAAATGTCCAGATTTCTGAACAGAAAAATTAACACCACGCCATAAGTTGAGATACTTACATTAATTCATTGTATGGATCATACAGACTTTGTGATAGTTGGTGTAAATATGCCATCAACATTACAGGAAGATCTGTAGTCAGGCTTTTGTGGAACTTAATATGCATGTGTATGCACACTTACGTATACATACACATGTAATCAGAATAAAAGCTGACAAAAAAATAATGTAGATCCTTCAACTTCTGCTAAGTGTGCAGAGTCATCATAAACAACTTAGTGGTTTTCATGACTAGCAAAGTGAGTAACAGAATTTCCTCATGCTACAAAAGGACACCATTGCCCTAAGTTGTAGTCAGGTAATCCCCATCAGCAAAACACTGCATGAGAATTGGTGACAAAAAGTTATGGAATATTCTTTCCGTTGTAAAACTTTACAAGGTGTTAATAAACCTCCCATAATTCCTGTTTTGAACAGATAATTTAGCTAAGACTAAAGAATATATTTTGTGCCCTTCCACCACAAATCCGTATGCCAGTGACACTGCTTAAAGAAGGAAAATGACAGTGATGGATTACCTCTGTCTTTACTGCAGTCCTGAAAGCCTTGGTCTTACCTGAGCGGTTGTTAGGAGACATGCGCACGGGAGAGATGGAGGGCGTGCGTGATGAAGAGTACGGTCTTTGCCGATCCCTTTCTATTGTTGAAGATGAAGCTACAAAGTGATACTGTGACCATCCATCCTGCAACATCAAACGTTGCAACAGCAGTCAGTGGAAAAGCCATTCAGTTTTAAGTACAGAGTATTTTCCTCTAGTGTTTTCACTATGTATGTAGAAGTAGGCTACTATCTTTTTCCTGCCACTGGGTGGCAAATGTTCTTAGCGGTGCAGGATACAATGTGCTGACTGTACTGACACACCAGGAGAAAAATTAAAATGCAGAAAGTTCTGTAAAATAACACATTTCAGAAAGACTCAAGTTATGAAAACACTGAACAACTTTTTAGGCTATTTGTTTAATAGTTCTTTCTTTTTCTGTGCCTCTATTTTCACATTGCAAATGGCATTCTGGCCCTGAAAATATTTTCAAATCATAAGACTGCTTGTTTTCATGGTGAAAATCAGTTTTTGCTTTAAATCATTCCTATCTTATAAGGAAATTTTGGAGTAAGTAGATGGGGAAGCCCCAGCATTATCAAAATTATTGTAACTGTTTGGGTATCAATAGTCTAGTTATATTAACTGCCCATTTGTTCACATATGAGAGAGAAAGAATCAATGCATTTCCTTGTTGCATTTTTCTCCAAGATGTACAGAAGGAAATCCTATACCTTCTATTTAAAACTGTGGTAATGGTGATGTATTTAAAAGAAAGAACCAGAGTAATACAAACACTGGAAACAGCTAGCTCAGAAATAAAAGGAGTTTAAATCATTCATGTTTTGTTCCTGTACCATAATATAATCCAATAATCCAAAATAATGTACTTTACATTTTTAAAAGGATATTAGAAATACTTTGAAAGTATCATGAGTAAATAAATTGACTTTTGGTTAGTGCTCTTATTAAATGACAGTATTTCAAATGTCTTAAAGTACTGAAAGATTTTAACTGTCTTTATCACTGCTTATTTTTAAATCTAAATCAGTAACACAGAGTTTTCCCAGTCTTGCACTGAAGGCATAATCCCTCTTCCACTAAACTTTTAAGAAACAGAACTCAGCAAGACTGTGACACCTCTCTCTTTTGAAAACAGCAGGACAGAAGATACTCATACTGATGCAGAGGGAATTGTTATGAGTCAATTAGGATAGACAGAGGTGACACCTAATTACAGATTCTGAGTGTCTGTACTCCTTACATAATGCATTTGTATAAACGTGCATGTATCTCAGTCCTAAGTTTAAAAGAAAAAAATATATACACATCTATACACATATATATTAT